CAGCTGCAAGAAGATCGCCACTGCTAAAGCAAAGATACATTACAGTGGGTTCAGTAAATAACCCGTAAGAAGACCTCCAGATCCACCGTAGGATTTGCTGAAGAAGTTCGCTAAATCTTTAATCCTGCTTAGAAAAAGATATGATACATAGTGCGTCACGTTGTTTACCATCCATTAGAAAACAGCACCAACAGTTGGAAACGTTGGCAATATACCAGCAATAATGCCTAATGTTAGAGACTGATATGTAGTGCGTTGCGCACTGACAACCTAAAGGCCGCTACGAGAATGCAGAAATATCAGAGTGTGACCCGGAAGAAACTGTTTTAAATTTAGCGTTGAGGTTATTCCAATTAAATTATTGTAGATTCACGCATCAAAGTAAGTGCAATATTTAACACTTATAACAAAAGATGCTGTATCATACTGATACAGTTTGCGTAAGGCTGCAACTTTTTAGAAGCAAAATGAGAAAGTGTCAGAAATCAATTTTCCTGAACAAACTACAGAAAGAATACCTGATGCACAATGTTCTTATTGTCAACATTCGCTTCTGGAAATCTTTTATACGCCTAGGGCTTTAATTGATCGTATTTGGTGTTGCTGCCACTTTAATGGTCGACAGTACAGAATATCATTGCAAACTAATATAAGCTAATACTGTGGCTATGATGCTGGACGGTTTCGCATCAGATATGAAAGTAACAGTTTCCAAAAATACTAGAGTCCATTTGAATTAAAACTTCAAACTTATTTAAACATAAACTAATCTTAACACTTATTCCATTCCCGTAAACAAGCCATTAAAGAAACAGCTAGTAGAAACCGCCTCAAGTTTATTCATTAGCAGATAAACAAAATAAAACAATCACGATGTTCTGGGATAGCTTTCGATATCATTTATTCATTAGCGTAATTTGTTTGGCGGTTGATCCAAGCTCAGATTGGAAGAGGAAATCACGCCATCTGGTCCTGTTCATTAACTTACTGATTCAAATATTGCCACTTACATGGGGAATTAGTAAAGCACCCTCAACTGATTTATTTGATTGATTAGTGTAATATAATTTGAGAAATAGACACCAATTCGTGCTGTAGATGACTGAAAAACGAAATTTAGAGAATGCCAAGTCAAAGAGCTGGCAGTGGGAGAGAAATAAAGTTCTTCATTTTATAACAAACCTGAATTGACTCGACATCGCAATGATTATCGTTGAGGTCAAGCACAGAACACTAAGGTATATTAATAAATGTGGCACTCCTTTTCTGATTCTGAGTTCCTTGCTGTAATGATGGATGGCTTGCGACTGATGGCTGAAGGAACTAAACAACGGAGATGCTGAGACTTTATTGTTAGCGGATTTCACTATGCACATCGTCGCACCTTTAGGCCACTAATGAATACAAGCCGCTTTGAATACACAAAAATAAATCATTTTAAAGTGAGTATTAGTTTGAGTCTGATCTTAACAAGTATATTCGTAACTTTGAACCTGAGGGCTTATTCCAAATCACTCACTGCCCGGCTCCAAATATTCTTATCAAGTTGGCTATATCAAGTCATTCTTATAAAGACAGATGTCTTCTATCAACTTAAATGTCTTCTATGAGGTCATGAGAGCGGACTATATTAAAAATACAGAGACAATTCTGCCGAAGCAGTCAATATGTCCATAAAATTGCAGAATGGTTAACATAGACATCGTTCTCCATCCTTTAAGCTGTGTGTCTCTGTAGCGGAAGGGGGCGCAGCTGGGTGGGGAGGAGATACGATCAACATTGGTTGACTAACGAGGTAATGGTACAAATGTGATTCTCCTAACATATGCCCAAGAACAGTAATGGGCGATCAGTTTTCGAGTGCGCCTGACGTGTGGTTGCTAGCAAGGTTGAGAATATGACAGGCAAAAGAGAGACGGAGACGGAGACCAAGACCAAGACCAAGACCAAGACCAAGACCAAGACCAAGACCAAGACCAAGACCAAGACCAAGACCTAGATCGAGACATAGACAATGACGAAGACAGACAGATACAAGGGGAGCACGGTTGCGCGATAAGTCGTGTTGGCCTCGGTCCGGCGATCGCCTGTCATCAGAGCGTAATCCTGAGTGAGGGACAGGCACTGAGAAAAGCGAGAACGATCGACCGGCACCAGCATCGGCCCATACGGCGGCCGGCGACCATGAAGGAATCTTGGTCTAGCAGCATTTTGTGCCATTCTAGCGAACGGGTGACGCTGTCTGTTTTACTAGCCACTTCGACAAAGGAAACCAAAGTCAGCTATACGGAGAGAGTATATCTGCTAACAAGGGATACGAAAAAATGATTTGGTATCTTGGGAGCATTTCCAACACTTACTAACAAAGCCAACGAAGTGCGCATTCGCATTCAGCAGTTACAGAGCAGTGTCGACCAAAGATGACGCAGTTTTTGTGCTCAGTCCTCCTGAAGCGACGAGTCACCAGCGACCTGAGCCACAATATCCGTGTGGGGAAGAACTTCAAAAAATAAGGGTGCCTGCGCATCAACGAGCTTTGGAATGCGTTGTAAAACAATGATGTAGGCGAAGGGCTGCATCATAGCCAACGTCAACTATCATTAGGGATGTATCGAGACTCAACGTCAATTACTACAATGATGAAGCTTGAATCAACGTTCGGTCCAGAAGCTCAATTTTCTTTGCGTGGAATCGTCATTGATTTGTCCCCGTTTTGGAGTCTCTAGTTGAATCGCATATTGTTGGACGTCCCATTTGTTCTTCCAGGTATGGATTCAACCTGTTGACAATGATCTGGACTTAAAGGCATCACTAGTTCTTTCACCTTATGTTGCTGCGTAGTAAGTCGGCTGCAGCTGTGTTATTCATAGCTTAATCTACCGTTTCGTTTGCTCTGATTTTATATTAACTGCCGTTAATATAGTTATTATTCAATTTATGAAATTGTTTTCTTTGGTTTGTGCTATTAAACAATGTTCCATGGTGATCTTATTCAAGTATTAAATTGGATCTTTTGTTCAGATGGCCGAGATTAGCAGAACTCCTTGTGTCTTTGTGAACAGTTTTTCTAAGAGAAGTATACCACGAATATAAACCCTCTCGAAGGACTGGAGGCCATTGACTGTCGTACTGATCCCGAAAGAAATCACGTTGGAAACTGTCTCGTCATGCTGCTTATACTCTGAACATCTAAACTCTTATACAAAGCATAACGATTTTGGGGCAAGGCAGAGGGAAGAACCAAACGATGCTCAATGGACGCTGTCACTGAATGGAAATAAAGTTTCTCGCGTCAGTTGGATGGTCATGACATCAAAATTCGCTGTGTCAACTTACATCAATTTGTACATGTATGTAGCCACGCTGAAAGGAAGACGGCATTTATCATATCATCAGATAAACAAGAATGAACAACTCAACTCTCACTTCTTTCGATCTTCGCGGCGAAGCGCACCACGCACAGGTGGTGATTGATTTTACAAGCCTGTGGGGTCTTTATGTCTTTAGCATGTGCGCATAATAATAACACTTGTTCCAATAAACCCACGAAAAACAGAGATTAACTTTTGTTATTAACAACTAAACTCTGTCACTGCCGGTTCCAAGCATAGATGAGAAGGGAGAAGGGTTGGGGAGAGTGACGAGGTCTTGGTGAAACTTAGTCACGTGTCCGCAATGATGTTGTTGTTCATTCATTCATTCATTCGTGCATTCATTTCCCATGACCTTTTATCCTTTCTGATCGCGGAGACAGGTACGACAGACAGTGATTCCAATGTTCCCGATCCTGCGTCAGTGTCTGACTTTTGGCAGAAAAGAACCAGACTCGAGAACAGACTCGTTCCATACATTTGCACCAGCTTAATCTTGGCCGTCCCCTGGACATTTTGCCGGTTGGATTTGCAACAAACAGTTGCTTAGCTTTCCTTTCCGGAGGCATTCGCAACACATGCCCAAACCATCGCAGTTGTGACATTTAAATCTGAAGAAGCAGCGGCTATACACCAAAACTCTATCTCGGATTTCTGTAGTGTGGATCATGTCGATACGCGTAAGGCCAGCAACTCATCTCAGAAAGGCCATTTCAATCGCCTGTACCAGGGATTGAAGTTTTCCGTCATGGCCGACGACTCATAAAGATACATAAGCATGGGGATGAAGATCGACTTGATCAGGGAGAGTTTAGTTTTCAGACCCAGCTTTGCTTCAGTCACAACAATTTGGACCAGTTCATGCGAAACGTTACCGACTATTCCAGTACGCCGGTCAATTTCTTCCTACCATTTTCCATCACCAGAAAACCGTCCTCCAAGAACTTGAACATTTCCACCTGGTATACTGCTTTTCTATTTATCTGACGAGCAACCGGACCCCGTGGAAAATGACCCCCCCCCAGAGAAAGTATAATTTTTTAAAGTTCGTAATTTCAGCCTTATTGCGTCTTCTTTCACACTCGAACGATACATCTCCATTTACCAAATTTTTGTACTTCGCATAAACATGACCTTCGAAAACCACCTTCTCTTTACCTTTATTCGATTTTACAAATTTCATAATGGGTTACAAGACTTTTGAGATACTAGACTCACATCGGCAATATGCATTCAACAAGATTCTTTTTGATGATGAGTGAGAGACTTGTATTCTTCAAGCGGATTTTGTCCACGGGAGAGGGGTCGTGGGAGTTTGTCCATTGGGGGAGGGTATATTGTCCACGGCGGGGGGGGGAAGGGGTTGTCCATGAGGGCTTTTATCCGGGGCCCCACTGCTTCTCTTGTATATTAGAGTAAGCTATTGCGCACCATTTCCTTTCTCGGACCTTTGTGTAGACTCTACCCATGAGACTCGATAAAGTAATGCCCCGATAAATGGAGCACTCCCTACGGTTTTCTTTCTTGAACAGGGACATTACAATTCTCATTCTCTAGTCCGCTAGTGTCTTCCCTGTAGCCGTTGCAGTTTGCCAGACACGTGTAAGCCAGTACATGCCTTGTTCGCCCAATACCTTGAGCATTTCAGGGAGGATTTCATCAATTCCTGCAGCCTTTCCATTTTTCAAGCTCTTCAAAGCTCGTGTAATTTCATCCACAGAGATAGAGATATCCGTTCCCTCATGCTTTAGAGGCGTGTCTTCCTGCGGTTGCATGGGGTTAAGAAGTTCCTCAAAATACTCCCTCCATCTTACCTTCTTGGTAAGGGAGTGTTCGGACCTACCTTCAAGACTCTTAGACTGACCTTCATTTCACTTCAGAGTTGGTGGATGGTCTGTCAGAGTACCTTGTTTGCCGTGTGGAAATTCGATTCCAACACTTCAACGAATTTCTCCCACGAATCAGATTGGCTTTCGCCACTGCTTTCGCTGCCGCCCTGCGTGCCTCGACATATCGCACGCGAGTAGAAGGCTCCTTGTTTCCAAGCCATTTCTTGAACGCCTCTTTTTTCTCTTTAACTGCCAGTTGTACCTCTCGTGTCCCCCATGAAGATCTTTGCTGACCTCCAGGCGGCAGGCCAACCCGTTTATATCCGCAGCATTCGGCGGCAGCC